GATCCTTGAGCTTTGGTTTGGGATCGGCCAGTTCCACTAGCCTATGCTGATCCTTTCTCAAGACGGTGCTTCAGGGCATGTCTTGTTACCTTCGATTGCTTCCACTTTGTGTGAAGCATTTCCAAGGCATCCTCTCCATAGCATTTTTCATCCTCAAAGATTCATCCTTGCATGCTGGCAAGGTGCAGAGCTCAGGTACCAGCACCAGCAAGTGGCTTCCAACTGCCAGCTGACACAACCCTGGAAAGCTACAGCCACATACTGGTGTATTTGTGCCTTGCTTTGAATGTGGTATCATGTGGTCTTTAGCTGCGTTTCTGACAACTTTCTGGATTTTACTTGTGCCCAACATTTGCCTTTGAGATGTTTTGGACATCAGGCAGTCGAGTTTGGTAGAGCAGTCTACTCCCCTTTGCTCGTTTTCAGTGCCTTTTGCAGGACACATTCAAGCAGATTGGCAACGCTTTCCAAGGCAAGGGAGAGTTGGCGAACTTGGTAGGGAGAAGATCACAGGGTTGTTCATTTCTCAGGAGTTGTGAAAACATGTATTCCAACAATCTTCCTTAAATTGATAGAGAGGAATTAGACCAAAGACTTTGTATGTTTTTCTGCCTTGCCCTTGTTCCCTGGCTATGCCCTTTGGAAAGACACGGGAAAGGGTTGAATTTTGAATGTCGCGGCTGTTGACCTTGCAGGACGACAATGACGACTCGAAGCTTGTCGGCAACGCTTTCCAGATTGACCCTGCGCCTTCAAACATCGTGTGAGTGGCATGTTTTGATTCCAGCTATCTCATTGCCATTCTGTTTTTTTTGCCGGTGTTTTTGTTTGAAAACAAGCTGTTGACAGGACTATTTGAAGAAGGTACAGACCTCAAACAGAATTTCATTCATTTTGTTTTGGAACAAATTTCAGAAGGGCACTGACAAAGACCGAGCGTCCGCATCTACAACATTTGCTGTGAGTTCATGGTTTTGCGTTTCATGTCCAATGCTGTGCCTCGGTCAACGCTGAGTGCAAGACAAAGCAGACAGTGATGCGCCAGAACATGGTTTTGCTGTGAGGCGATCGAGAAGGAGATGAAATTGTCCATCGCAGCTCCCTTGATTGAAATCTTTTGCCAATAGGACGAGCCGTTGTTTGTGCCACCAACTTCTTTTTTGTTCGAGCATTCCTTTTTGTGTTCGGTTTTTCCCCAGATAGCTGGAAGCTATAGGGGTTCTTACTTCTCAATGACGGGGTCACTGATTTCCGAAATCGCTGCTTGGTCGCCATTTCCGCTGCGGACTTGTCTGCCAAGCTTGTCTCCCTTCATGCTGCCACTGCCGCCTTGCCTCTGTTGTTCCGCTGCCGCCTTGCCTCCCAACCTTGTCGCCATTTCTTATTTCCGTTTTTGCTTGTTCTTAGGCTACCGCTGCCGTTCTCTGTCTCAATCTTGTCTCCCTTCTTGTTTTTCTTGATTCCGTTTTCGGCTTTTCTTGGCTTCAAACAACCAACGAATATCACATGTTTGCGAAGCGGCTTGACACATTGCTCTTTGATTTCCACTGATAGTTTTCCCTGGATAGCTTGAGGCAGTGTGGCTAACTCATCTCCCAACTTGCTTTGTCCAATGTTGAAACATTTTGGCTGGGGGGCGGGGGCGGCTCGCTTGTTCCGTCCATGTTGTCTCCCTAAATATCTCCCGGCGGTTTGTTTTCAGAAGCTGGGCGTTCTATGTTTGAATATTTGCGCCCAGCTTTGGACAGCAAACTTTTCTGGGGTCTATGCCGGGGCAATTTTTGTTTGAATGCCTTCTCTGCAGGATGGCAACTGGAGCAAGGAAGAGAAGATGAGTGCATCTCTTCGTGAAACTGATGAAGACAGTCCTGATGGCTACATCGTGCCACAAGTGCCATAGAGGCCGCTTTCTTTTTTTCTTGTTGAGCCAATTGGCCATTTGCAGTCACCCCTGTCAGTAGTTCTCCTTAAATACCACCTCTTACAAATGCCTTGTTGAAGTTCGGGGGTCAGCCAATTATTCAGGTTGGACTGCTATGGATACGTCATTCCATGGAGGCTGGTTTCTTTGTGAGCAGTGTGGCAATGCTTGTTGGTTTGAATGGTGTTTCTTGAAACAGTTTTACTTTGTGAGGCTTTTTCTGATCCGACTGTGAGCATTCCTGTCAAAGGATGAAAACAGACATATCAAACTGGGAAAGGATGAGTTGAAGAGGTAACTTGCCACCCAAAGTCGGTGGCTGATTTGCCCAAAATCGGTGGCGGATTTCCGCAAAATCGGAGGTAGATTTTCTCTAAAATCGGCGATGGATTTCCCCGTTTACCCAAATATGTTTGCATGAAACTTGGATGAGAGAATTGATTGAATCTGTGCCCATGGTCTTTCTTCTCAGAGCTGGGATGCACATAGAGACTTGCAACTTGAGCAGCACAACCATCAGTGGGCTATAATATATATATATATATAATGTGTAGAATTTGGTGTCATGCGCATACGTCAGAACAGTTTGTGAAAACCTGCGCCATGGCAAAGCGGGGCTCCAAACTCCTTGCACTGGCCTTGTCCATTCTGGTGGCTAGGTCTTTTGTTGCTCTGGTTGAGACACCCCAAGTGCACCTAGGCAATAGGCATAAGCCCCCAAGCAGAACCACGAGGACAGCAGTCGACTTTGCGAAAGTGGCGCAATATCTCGAGCCATTCGTCACTGTGATTGAGATAACACTGAAGGACGTCTGGCAGGGAGCTCTGGATGCAAACAACAACCTTCGTTTGATTTCGAACCAGACAGCTTTGGTTGACATCAAGGAGGCCCAAGCACACGCAGAATGCCTTGCACAGACCTTGGTGGAGAGCGCCTCTACATCAGAGAAAGCCCGCAACATCTTCTTGCCGAACATCTCGTTGCCACTCATCCCCGTGAATGGCACAGAGTTTCAGCATTTGGTGAGCAATGTGCTATCGGATTTGACCTTGACCGGCGTCTCTTCGATTCATGCTGAACCTGGAGTGGGCAAGTCAGTCGCTGTCACTTTGGCCATACTGGGATGGGCTAAAGGCAATCCAAAGTCCATCACTGTTTTGATACGAGGAAACCTGCAACTGCTCGAAGATTTCTTTCGAGTTAGCAAGGAAGCCTACGTGCCAGCTGTTGCAGAAAACCTTTTTCGAATCTTGTCCGACGAGGGAGTTCGCTTGCAATTGGTTCTTGACAACGTCTTTGACAAGAAACTCGGTGAGCGTGGGGAGATGTTGATGAGCCTTGCCCGCGCCGCCTTCAAATATGGACAAGTTGTGGTCGTCACGCAGTCGCGTGAAGTCGCTGAGGAAATCGGTTTGCTGAATGGGGCACGAACACGTGTATCGCCACACCAGAAGTGCAATGCAAGCGACTACAGGTGGAATGAGATGCAGGCATCCACACTCCTCCTGAATTTGAATGCAACTGCAAAGCTGAACAGATCCATGAAGGAATCGGAGGACATAGTCCAAAGAGCCTTAACTGAATCCTTCGAAAAGTTCAAGCAGGATGGGGCTTGGGTGCAGGAGAATTTGGAAGGGGCAAGGATGCCTGACGGTGGATGGAAGCCAGTGGATATCGAGCAATTTCTGATTTCAGGCATCAAACCAGTCTTGGTCCCAGCGGTTGCAGGCGGGGACTGTAGGGAAGGGCTGGTTTGGAAGAACATTACATTGAGAATGTGTGAGCATTCTACTTGCAGACGAGCAGATTTTTTGTGGGTAAACTTCTTTTTTTTTCCCGCTTCGCAATCGCACATCCTCAATATGAACATAGCTGACCAAAGTAAGCTCTTGCAAAATAGACCCAACTTGTCATCTTCGCGCTCTGCAAGGTACAACCTCTCCAACCCAGACCAAAGCTGTTTGGGTGAGGCAACTGCAGAAGGACTGACAAGAGTTGTTCACACTTGTAGAGATCCCAAGAATTCCTTTGGTAAACGCTCGTTTCGGTTTAGGACAATCGATTCTGAACGCTCCCCATCCCAAGTTCAAAATTCCTGCAAGTGAAAAAGAAGAATAGATTTTTTTTGATTGAGCTTTTGCTGTTCACAATATAGGCTGAGGGTGTTCGCGCGATGCTGATTGTGAGCAAGCCCGCTGTGCAACATAATACCGTGTCATTTTATGTTCTTGACACAGCTCAGCACTTTTTGGGGAAAAGATTGCAGGGTTTTTCCTTCCTCAGGATTTGTTGAAAGATATCTTCCAATAGTCTTCCTCAAATTGACAGAGATGATTTAGACTAAAGACTTTGTATGATTTTCTGCCATGCCCTTGTTCCTTTGCTGTGCCCTTTTGTCTGCTCCCACCTCAACATCTCGCCTTTTGAGTGTTACAGCAAGTGTTGAACAAGCAGCCTTGTCATCCCTCTCTGTGTTCCTTTCATGTGT